TGTTGCGATTGATTTACAAGATCTCAAATCTTGTAGTCTACGGCCTAATTCTGTTGATATCTCAGTCACCTAGACCCTCCATATATACCGTGACCTGACGCCGCCCTGGACCAACTCCGGGCCAATTCCATTATTCGTTAATACGTCATAGACATTATAGACATGAACATTACTCCTGATACATTACTCCGTCAAATCTGTGCAGGCCTCATCTTCTCCAACTCTGTCGGTAAAGTCGGTAAACTCGAGTGCTTCACGGTGTTCTCCACATTCCAACCCCGGAACATGGGATGCGAAAGCAATGGTGGCGTCTTCAACCGGATTGTAGGCGGCCGTATCGGACCGCCAGACTCCTCTTCCACCGGTAGCGTCACCCGCCTCGTAGGGTACTTCTTGTGAAGAAGCTGCCACGTCCTCTCCACGCGCGCTTCGTGCTCGGTCCAGTCGCCTCGAAGTGACATGAGCAACCCTTCGCCTTCCTCCGCGTCGATACTCGTTTTGGATCTGCTTCGGCCATGCCACGTCCTAGATCGTGTCCTGGCGGGTGGTGAGACGGGCTCGGTGGGTGTGTCCGGGGTGGCGGCGGTGAAGCCGGCGACGGGTGTGACGGTGACAGATGACCTATTCTGTAGCGACTTGCGGATGATCGTGTCCCTCAACTCCTCCTCGGCCAGCATAATGCGTGATTGCGTGAGTTTTGTTCGCCGAGTGTACTCTTCCCACGTGAGATCTGGGTCGCGTAGACAAGCATTTTTGTACTCTTCTGCGAATTCCCTCTTGCGACGGCGACGAGTTATCGTGCAGTAAACTGCAATGGCGATGACAATGAGAAACGCGGAGCCGAGGATTGTGGAGACGATGATGAGAGTTTGTCGGCTGGGGCCGCCGCCGGTGGTCGGTCCGGCGGTGAAGTCGGCAGCTACGGGATCGGAGTCGGTCTTTGCGCCGGATCTCGTATTGAGTAGAGGGATAATCATGTTGTGTGCTGGTTGTTAATACGACGGTACGCCGTTGCGATATAGCGAGTGACAGAATTAATATTCTAGTTATTAGAGCGAGCGTGGTGCGTCCATGAAAACGACTGTGTGGACGGACGAGAATAAGTGGGATGAGTGCGCAAATTCTTGACCGCTTCAAAATCTGTGTGCGACGATCGCTCGCGGGGGAACCGGAAGGCTTTGTATATACACGTAGCAAACCAAGCCTACCTCTCCCCTCTCAGCATCAACTACGGATAGCAAGCCGGCCGATAAAAATGCGGTATTCTATTTAAAACATGCAGCTTCGCAAGAGGACAATAACCCACGTCGGCAGCCCAGGACGCAAGACGTTGCTAGTCTCATGATTGCGCAGGAACGCCAGGAACACGGCATTCGCTCACCGTATCCCGCAGGAAAGAAAAAAGGCCTGCAGGTGATTCTTCTGCACGCCATGCCTGCCACCCTTGGCATGAGAAGCGAGGAAAGAAAGTTCGGATACGGGACTCGTCAAGGGACTCTCCGACTCAAAGCAGCAAACATGGGCAGAGAGCAAGGTGGTAAGCATGCCTATCGGGGTGGGATCACTATTCCAGAGGCAGGGGCCTGAACGTTCGAAAAGGATGGCTGGACAACTGTCTCTGTGGTGATTCGGCCGTTGGGGCTGTCCACGAACGCCTCGCCAAAGGGTGTCAGGCAACATCCGCAACAGACAACAGGAACAGGGGACCTTGGGACTGGAGAGCGTGTGTTTTCCCCTTGGGAAAGCCATACAAACCAACAAACCAGCCCAGACGAGGAGGGACCTTAGGGCTGCCAGGGGATTTGACTGGCCACTTGTGCGCTATAATTGGCCCCGGCCCTGGCCTTGTCGGGTCGCCAACACGAGGTCAGGCACAGTAGCGCGGCATTGGCGGAACGGGGCTCAAAAAGCAAAACCCCGGACGAGTGCCGGGGGTTGCCCGTGTGGCTGATAGGGGAAGAGACTCAAAGAGGAGAGTTGGAGAGGGAGCGGGATGAGCAACCCACCACCCGCGGCCTATCAGAGTCTCTGAAACTCCCGGTGGCTGGCCAGCGAACAAGCCGCGCAAGACAAGGATCGGATGGTTTTGTTCGTTCTTCTCGTCGATTTGTTCCCAAGCCGGGGGACGGCAGCCTGCACTGCCTACCCACTGCAGTTGGAGTCGAGGGGCATGGGATTTCTGGCCCGAGACTTGGAACCCCATCGGTCGTGGAACACAGCCATTGGGTCACGATTTCATGCTCGCCTCGCCTATGCCGATGTATCCCATTCATGTGCGTCTCTTCAAGCACGACATGCGGGTGGATTTGTTGGTGAGTCCAACGCTCAATCCTGGGGGAAGCACCCCATTACGTTGCCACCAGATACCTCCCGGCTGCCTCCCATTGTAGAGTCTCTGCAACTTGCAAGTTGGGAGAAAAAGATTTCGACTCATTATTATTGACTATCCTGGCGCAGATGAGGAGAGATCTCGGACATGACGATCTCCTTCATTGTCTCACTCTCGTAGGTACTATCGCGCGCTGGCCCACCATGTTTGCTTTCTTCAGTCCAATAAAGTACACCGCCTCGCCCGTTTGCGCTTTCGGGGCAAACGGCGCCCAACTTTCCAGGTGTTTCCTTCTTTCGCCTGTGCAACCCAACGTCATGTTGCGTCTAGAATGTCGGTTTCAAAGACACAATCAAGCAGCACCAATTTCATGCGATTTCCCGTTACTTGAATTGGCCCAGTTGGTGATTTGTTTTGATTACCTATTGACAATAGTAGAGCCTGATAGGTCGGGAGAGTATGGAGGAAAATCACAAGTCCTTCTCCAAAGCAAAGTCCAACACCACCACTTTTCTTTCCTTTTCCTCAGTTCGTGTGTAAATCGAAACCACCTGCTGCGACCCAGACTCAAACGTCTCAACCTGCGGCTCGCCGGAGAACCCATCCGCCTGCCAAAGCGTGCGATATTCCAGCGCGACCTCCTCATCCGCAGCCCCTGTCTGAGCCTGAGTGGGCAACCTGGCGCCGAGAACGGTGAGCTTATCGTCTCGATTCCCCGGCAGCGCAAAGACGACGGTCTTCTTGCCCGGCAAAGCAATGACATCCCCGCGCGCTCCCGTCCGCGTCGGCTGCAGGTCCGCGGGCAACGCGTGGCGGCTCCATCGCCCCTCTGGGCTGCGGTAATAGTGTATCCAGACTTCGTTTTCTCGGTTCAGGACGTGGAACCCGCCTTTGTCATCTGCCGCTTGCGCCTCCTGGTTCAGGATGCCATTGTTCATTGGGATATCGAAGACGATAAGCCCTTCGCTATCGGGGTATACGGTCTCGCCTACTTCGAGGTTCGCTAGCCTTTCGCCCTTTGTGTTGTTGAATGTTTTTCCGCCGTCGTCGCTGTTCACATAGAATAGCTGGATCCAAAGTCAGCCGAGCATCCCTTAAGACTTGTCCTCAAACAGGATGGGTTCCACGCACATTGTGGTTGTTTTCTGGTCCATTCGGTCCAGCTTGGACAGTGTGCGTCCGCGCTTCTGGGTCATCCACGCCTTCGTACCATACAAAACCGCGATACGTGCCAGATACATGAATGCGCCCGTTGGCATATGAGATGCCGTTGATGTACGGATTATTGTTGACACCGGTAAGGAATTGTCCAACATAGGAATAGGACTGGTCCTTGCTGCTGTACTTGAACAAGTGATCGGAGCCCGCTCCCGCACTGCATCTCGGTCAGTCTCAAGCTTGTCGCTGCACACAATTTCTATTCACATACATCCCAATGCGATAGCTCAGCAGAAGGTCATCATCGATGCGGATAAAACGCGGGTATGTCGTCTCCAAGAAGAGTTTCTCGACTCCCAACTGGCCTGTGCGTGTGTATCCCGGAAGCTGATTGTGAGTAGGGCTGAAGAGTGAGGTCTTCCACTCGTGAGCTTCCGGCTTTGTCGCTACGCCTGGTATTGACATGCGGTAGCGCAGGCTGCACAAAGTCAGAGTCATCAGCAATGCTCCATGCAACAGAGACGATGTCTGGGGGATGGCTCACGGATCACAGTGGTGGTCGAACGAGACATGGATAGTGCCATCACCAGCACAGACTCCTATCGAGATGGTGTTGTGCCCATCATCCGCAGTCTGCTCGTAGTCTTCAAATGTCAACGTCTCCCAGCTGCCCAGTGAGTCGCGGATGGGGCGCCGAGCAAGGCTGACGAAGAGGGCGTTGCTTGTCGCATCTTTGTGAGTGTAGAAGCAGGTATACTGCCATCCATTGAAAGTCGTCAATGCATCTTGCTGGAAAGAATTGGCGTTGATCCGGTGCTCTCGCCGCGCATCCAGGGCCAACTCGGACTTGGCGAGGAACTTCAACTGAGAACCCATGTCGCTTCTGAGAACCTTGCCAGGTGTATGGAACTTCAAACTCTTGGACGCCGTTCCGCACATGCAACACTACAGATCAAAGGCTCGTTTGAGAAAGTGCCCCCTCCATCACTTTCATAATCTATCACAGTGACGTACGCGGGGTCCCTCCGGTTAGGTTCGGGGGAAACTGAGCCGAGCGGAGGAGGATGGACGGTTCCCCGCGCGACGAATCGCCCGATGTGCCGATACGACTGTGACCCCCGGATCTTCCCCCGACTACCGATGCGCCGATACAACGCCCCGCACTTCAATAAGCCATTGTTGATGACCGATTTGGACAAAAAAGAGGTTATTCAGCCATGGCATCCCCGCAATTGCGATCTTTCCACAGCTTATTTCCCCGCGTTGGCAAACTCCAAGTCGATTTTGCCAACCAACCGATACCCGCGAACCAAGGAATAGAGCAAGCGGCCAAGAGAAAGATTGACAGCCAAGCAATCAATGTGGTAGCGAATAGCTCGTAGCGATCAACCTGTACCAAGATGAAGCAGTTGAGGTTCTTAATATCAATAGAGACGAACTCCTTCTTTTGCAATGTCGGTTTGATCGCATGTGAGCAATAACAAGAACTCGAAACACCTGGAGAATCGAAACGATGGGCTGGAATTCCAAACTGAAGAATAGCGACAACCGTCAGGCTCTAGAGTCGACGACGCCTCTTAACACTAAAACGACGTCGTGGCTAAAAGATCCCGGACTTCGCCCCCTCAATTTTGGTCTCTTCTTCCTTCTATTTGGTGATGTTGCTCATGGTTTCGACGGATCTTTGATCAACAACCTTCAACAGATTAGCAAATGGCAAGATGGTCAGTCACGTACCATTTCTCTGAGCCCTCTCGGCGTGCACTTTTCGACATGCTGATAGGATAGAGGTCAGACTTCGACCACCCCCGAGCAAGTCTCCTAGGTGCCATGAGCGCATCGTACTGGATCGGGAACATCCTAGGAGTCATTCTCATCCCCCTGGTCGCCGATCGACTCGGCCGGCGCATCGCAATTGCGACAGGTTCGTGCCTTTGCATCGTAGGTGCGGCAATTTGCGCAGCGACAGTAAACCACGGAGCCTTCATCGCTGGCCGTGTTCTTCTTGGCATGGGAGGAGTCATGTGCTCTTCCGTTTCAACGGTCTTGATGACGGAGCTGGCGTACCCATCCCACCGGGCGACGGCGACGGCATTGAGCAGCACGACATACAGCGTCGGGGCCATCTTGGCCGCCTGGGTAGCCTTTGGGAGTTTCCGAATTTCGGATTCATGGTATGTTTCTTACTCATCGGGGAAGTTTTCTCCGCCGCGAGGCCCGAGAAACATGTGCACTGACTGATGGTTCTTTACCATCCCTAGGGCGTGGAGAACGCCGACACTGATTCAGGCCTTTCCATCGGCGATGGTGCTTTGCGGACTCTTTTTCTTGCCGGAGTAAGTTTGCCAAGAATCATTACTTGACTCGAAGCGAGAGCTGAGCCACAACTTCTAGATCGCCTCGATGGCTTTGCAGCAAGGGCAAGGAGCAGACGGCGCTTGATATTCTCACAAAGTACCATGGCGCAGGTGATGCCAACGACGCAGTCGTCCAGCATGAATACGCCGAGATCAAAGAGACCATTGAAGCAGAAATCACGCAGAACAGAAACCCTTTCCACCTCAAGGCTCTATTCGCAACCCCGGGAAACCGTTGGCGATCATTCATCATCATCTGGTGCGGAATATGCAAGCAGTGGTCCGGGAACGGACTGGTATCATACTATCTGGGCAGGTCCGTCTCTACAAACAATTGACCTCGGTGTTCTGAGAACGAAGCTAACACGGCATGATACACGTCAGCATGCTCAAAGGCGCAGGCATCACTAAACAGATCGAGACAACGCTGATTACCGCAACATCTCAGATGTTCAGTTTCGCGTGTTCCTTTGCCTTTGCCTTTCTTCCGGCGCGTGTCGGTCGCCGGCCCCTCATGCTAACGAGTATGGCCGGAATGTGGGTGGTATTCGCAGTGATCACGGCCACGTCCGGCGCCTATGTCGAGACAGGGAACCGCCACGCAAGTTACACAACCGTAGCGTTCATCTACCTCTACAGCGGTGTGCATAATCTGGGCTGGACGGGCGCACAAATGCTCTACAGTAAGTTAAAGCCTAGAGCACCAAAGGGACGGTTAGGCTTTGCAACGCTGACGCGCCGTGTCCCTCTAGTTGTCGAAATCCTTCCCTACACCATCCGCGCCAAGGGCATGGCCATGTTTTCTCTTGTCGCGGGTATTTGTGGAGCCTTCAATACCTACGTTAATCCTCTTGGCATTGCAGCCATGTCCTGGAAGTTTTACTTCTTCTATGTTGGTTGGATTATTGTCCAGTTCATTGTTGTATACTTGTTCTTCCCCGAGGTAAGCTTTCAGTAGACGATGAGAAAGAACTGCCTATTAACGTTTCCTAGACCAAGGGACCCAGCTTGGAACAGATTGCACTGCTCTTTGATGGTAAAGATGCTCAGATGGGCCGAGTCAATGTTGTAGCAGAAGAGATGCTGGATGAGAAGGGTGGAGTAGCGTTCCAGACAAAGGAATAGCAGTAGAGTTACTGTAGAGTTGCCGTTACAGCATACCTAATCTGTATGCTCACCTGTTACACTTTTGAAGTGCAAGATAAAATTAGCCTTAATACTTTACAGATGTGGTTACATATTTTCATATGATAAAATGACTACTACGCACAGTCACATCATTGTGACTCTTCTTGTAAGCTTCGTGGCGGAGCTGTTCGCCAAGGAGGTTTGTTCATCATCCGCACTTGGCGAGTGGTTGCATGTGCTCCGTACGACCCAAGCTTCGGCGGTCAAACTTCAGCCCACAGACTCTACACTCCATAAAGACCTGTTACCTACACTAGAAAGAGACACTGAGGGTGTGACTGTCTCTAGCCAAGAACTAGCGGGCGTGTGATCCACGTGGAGACCCGGCTCCCACATGAGTTCAACCAGTCTGTATTTGGGATTAATCGCGTGATGGTTCAGATGCGGCCTGACCGTTCAACCTCCTTTGTTGAGCTTCCAATCGCATTCAGACGCCGAGACCCCTGGAAACATGCGGCAGCCACCAAGATCTTTATCAATAGATCTGCTATACAATGTGTTTGGGCTGTCTGGTTCTGCATCCAGGGCAAATTGATCTTAGAGTATCGAAAGTATGCAAGGCAGTCGCATCTTACACAGGTCACGACTACTAAAAGAGGGGCTCCCGTGCTACAGCAATTCTTGAGGTGATCTGTGAGTGAATACTACTCTTGTTTTACCGGTGGAATACTATTTTGATGCACTAGACGTCTTCAAATGACTTAGGTTCTCCGCTTGGACATTAGCCCAGTAATTGCCTCTTCTGATAGCAGAAACTGGACTAATTCCTAAGTCCCCTCGGCGATGTCGCGGCCTGCAATAGTCCGATGTCCACGTGTCCGTCACTTTTAGTTCAACGAGAACGAGAACGGAGCTAGACCACCACATCTCGAAACACCTTAAAAACTCTATTCTTAAAATTTCTGACGTCAGAATCGACTGGAGGAGCTTCCCTTGTTTACCAAACGCCAAGAGTTTCACATCGCAGCTGTCAGCGGTCAAATGTGGATGCCTATCCTTGACCCTGGATAGAGCTACCATGTCTCGTCCGGGATACCTAGCCCACTACCTTCAGGTGGATTCATGGGGTATTGGAAATCAGACTACTAATGGAGTGATTTCTTAAACGGAGAGGCATAGTTGTGGTTTTCCCCGTCATCTCAACTGTCGAGAAAAGAACTTTGACTTTGAATGAATCCCCAATTACGGCGTATTCGGCGAAGTCAAGGTCGGCGACTACAGACTTACTTTCTGTCACGATCATATTGCGGATAGATGCGTCTTCCCACTTCTCGGGTCGATCGGTTAGCTCCGCGATTTCGGTTGAGATGGTTGCAGCATTCGCAAGGTCCCAATTCCGTGCTTTTTTGGGCTGGTGATGGGCCAGGTTTGAGTAAACTGAAGGAAAGGCCAGTCTTCAGCTTCGGAAAAAATGTTACATTTGATGTTACTTTACTATGCAGTTGTAAGTCATATCTGGGTATATCATCATAGCCCTGTGAGCTGTAGCTAGGCTAGCTAGTACACGTGTACCTCATGTAGTCGTCTAATAAGCGTCATCATCTCCCAGTCCAAATGCTGGACGTAGCCAGACTCTGACGAGTCTGGAAGCTCAGTCCTTTCCCCAAGTTGTAGAAGAGCCGACACTGTAGTTGCTTGCATCACTCAACTTCCTAGCCGCAAGCTTCGGCCGAGTTGGCGGTGCTAGTGTGTTGACCTCAACGGAGACTGTCGTGGTCGTCTCGCACTGAATGGCCATGCCCATGACGGAACCCTCACCCATCCCAAAACCTTTCATGCTCCCTTTCATGTTTTCTGTACTTTCGATGCCATCCACTTTGAGCGCCTTCAAACCGCCTGATTTTGGGCCCTTGCGGGCAACTCTCTCGCGCCACTTGTTATATCGCCTCAGCCGTTTTTGCTCGGAGGTGGGGCCTCCCATGACGATGGTTGTGTTGCCGAATTTTGGAGGCGTGCCACACATGAACGAGAATGTCTCTAAGCCAACCTCTTGTGAAGGAGGCCCTTCGCACGAGAAGACGATGGATCGTCTCGTTAAAGAGTAGAGAACAACATCCATCCAGCCGTTGCAAGCGATCATTGCTCCCGCGAAGCAGAAGTATCCCAGAGATACATCGTGCCCTGTCATTGAGGCAAGACGGCCAGCAGCCAGAGGAATGGTGCAGACAACGTAAACGAGAGGGTACAAAAGAAATGTATGCTGCCTAGCATAATCTGGAATGTTCGGTAGTCGTCTAAGAATCGTTGTCAAGCACAGCGGACGCCAGAAGGTGCTTGAGATTGTGCTGTGGTTATCGCAGCTCGACGTGGTGCCTGAACTTGATGCGCTGCAACTTGACGGGGTTGGGGTAGTCCCTGAGTGTCCACAGCAAGGAATCACCCCGCCGCTTTGCCGAGCCAGCTTTTGTAGATGAAGGAATATTATAAAGTAGATTAAACTTGTGAGAACCAGTGAAATGAAAATCCAGAGATAATGAAGTGTTAAGCGGACATCCTGATATTTGGAGTTGATCCAACACTGTCGCGTGTTAATGCTGTTGCCGCGATGATCATGAAGCAGGCTGACTCACCCAAGCGCCGGCTCTCACATAGAGGCCGCCCTCACTCTTCCCATTCTCTGTAATGATTACACCAAGGATCCCTGTCCCGTACACGAAAGCCCACATCATGACGATTGCGGTATGAAAGGCCCATGTCGGGATTTTCTTCGTCGAGACAATAGACATGTAGGTGTGGATCGCGATACCCGTGATGAACACGGAAGACGCCAGGTCGCCGGTCGATACAAACCACCCTTGAGTCCAACATGTGCCTGTGCCGACTTCAATGGCGTTTCTAGTCAGCCATTCTACGTTGAGGAGAAAGGCCAGCGCTTGTTGGATGTCGGCGAGTAGGAGGTTGAAAATAAGAACGAGGAACTGATTCGGCGGTTCGTTGATAGCTCTTTGCCACCATGTCTCCTTCTGTTTCTTTGCAGTTTCTTCTTCAGTTGCCAAATTCCAATTACTTGGAATAATGAATGCCGCGTCTGTCGGTCTCGGCGACTCAACCTTGATGATGAGATCCTCCTTCTTCGGTGTCGGCGGGCCGTGTTGCCATTGGATCAGTTTATACGTGAGAAACGTCAACAAACCCAGGCTGGTGAAGAAGGAGAGGAACCCCATCGTCGCCACCGCGGCGAGGCCATGGCGAAGAACTGGTGGCAACGGACGGACCGAGTACGGTGAGCTATCCGAATCGTAGTGATCTACTATACCCTCCGACTCGTTCATCTCCGCAATGTTGATGGGTTCGACGACAATTCACAGCTGCGTGTGGATGTCATCAAGAGTACGATGACGGGGTGTCTTTCGATGTTATACCATCCCACAGAGCCCCAAAAGTTCAATGTCAAGGGGTCATGGCCCAGAACGTCCAGACCAGGGACCATCTCTAGCTTAAAAGAGAGCCCACCCTAGCCTCAACATCAGCCGTCAAGCGGCAAATCCAAAAGACCATCTGACAATGCTTTCCCAGTGCCAAGAACCGTTATCCCAGCCAGATGGAGAAAATAATCCGAGTCATAGAAACGACTCAGCCCGCTTGCGACGAGGGGGTGGGAAGCGAACGTTTCTTTCCAATCCGGATTTACTCGGGAAACAATGAAGAGTTCTCCGAGACGAGTGGGATCCAGTACGCGCGCGCGCGCCGCGCTATGGTAAACACCTGATCTTCCCTAAGATTTTGCGATTAGAGTTCGCCATGTGTGTGTACCGCCATCGAGCTCTAGTATTCGCTGTGGGAGCGAAAGAGAAGTGTGCATGTTCCATCCCCGTTCCAAATCGTTCCAGGCTAAAGTATGTCTTCGACGGGACGGACTCTCGTGGGCTTCGGCGTCCCGCGGACCGGGATGACTCAAGCCTTCCTTTCTCTTGGCCTGTCTAAGTGTGTCTCTGAAGCACAACCCTCCTCATGGGTCAGGGGTTGATAACTCGGAGATTTCTCATTGGCTCATCGACATGCCCTTTTGGACCTACAATTGTCCGAGCACGACGTGATGCCACGAGTTGAGCCTTGGTCTGGACGTGCGTCTCCCGCAAACCGCAGTTGTTTCCGCCCCCAATTCCGCCTTTTCTGCTGAGACACCCGTGAACGGTTGGACTCTGCCAAGGCGACCCTGATTGAAATGGAGCGGATGATGAATCGACAGAAAGAATTACTGCCTCTTACAGTAGGACCTTGAAAACCACGAGCCGCGGCAGTGGTCAGTAATACACCCGTTCCCTCAGCGCCCGTGAAGAGGTGTTCGCCCCGGAATTCATAATCTTCCCCGAAGTGGAGTTTTAGGCTAAAATCCTCCTACTCGGGCATTTTTAACAGCCGCCAAGACGGTCCCGCGCGCATCAATCCGGGGAAATCCACTTATTGTCATCGCCGATGTGTCCACCTACCTTAGTACCATGGCGAGGACGGTGGGGGCCGAACCTGTCGTGTATCTAACCAACTTACTACCGTACCTCACCTTTACTGAAAAGCACGCGGATATTGTGAAACTCGAGATCGTACCGAAAGCCACGAGAAGTCAAACTCAACACCACTTTCAAATCGGCGCCAGTATCGTGTTTCCACGTGGTAGTAACTTTAGCAAAGATCCGGAAAGCTTCCGACGACGGTGGAATTCTTGTAAAGTGGTTATCAAGTACGGTACCGGAGTCTTCATTGGATCACAAACGGGTTTTCACCATAAGTAAAGTTCGTGTGACTAACAGAACGTTCTGGCCTATCTATCGGTCGGTTTTCTCGTCTTAGCTATCCGCCAAATTTCAAACAGCACGCTGAATGCAAGATGCAAACTCTACTATTATTGCACGCTATGCTGTAAGTCAAACCCCCCACTTCCCGGCACCCCCCTGTTTCTGGCACCCACAAAAACGATGGGATCACAACCCAACCTCCTC